CGCAAGTCGCGCAGATTACGTACATATAAACCTACAAAGTACTGATATAGTAAATTAAAAAATAATTATTTTTGTGTAGTTGTATATTGCAATAATAACGTATGGTTGTCACAAAATCCCACGGCACACCCGGACTTGGGAACCACTGCCCTAGAAGATGTGACGTCCACCCCCCAATTCAAACATGTTCATACAATACTGAATACATTTGAAGCCATTTTGACGTATATTACCTATGTCAATACGTTTCTGTTTTTGTAGTGTATTTGTCTTTAGTAGAGATTTTTCATTCATTCTTTATATATAAAATCTCGCCTAGGGCAGCAAATTGTCTAGAACCGGCCCTGGTACTAGGCCTCAAGAGCCTTTCTTGTGCTGGCAGACACATAGAAACAAATTGACGGGGCGCACTTCGCACGTGCACACACTAAAACATGACACGCGCTCACATTATGCTGGGCCCACGTGCCTTAGCACCGCTGCTATGACTCCATCCTAGGGGAAACACTGGATTGGTTAGCTGGCCGGCTCTGTTGTGATTAGTCAACAGCTTAGAGATGAAATTCACATACAATGTGTTGGAGCCCTTGCCAATAGAAGCGCAAGTGTTATATAGTGATGTCATTATGTTACGGAAGTAAACACAGGAGTCCAAAGGAGGCGTTTCAGTTAGGGGGGGGGGGGTATTTTAGCCGTTGCAAACCATTTACAAATACCAAAACCTATATATATATAGATCGCATTACAGGAAGGGGAAAACCCCCCAAAACATAATAGTGCTTCTTTAAATTTGAATAATGTTTTAATAATTGTCTAACATTGCCTAAAATATTGGTTAAAACCATGTATTTTAATTTAATAAATATCTTTATAACACCATATCTCTCCCTAATGAACTTTAAGGTTAACCCAGAGGCGTTAAGAACAATTTATTTGCACTTGTTCTCTTCACAGGCTCATGGGCACGAGCACTTCCAGTGTGAGGGATTTATTTGATATCCCACAGGGGCCATTTATGCTAAGAATACACAAGCTCTCCTTACTATAAGGAGACTTAAATAAACAAATCCACTAAATGGAGCGAGTCTCTGGGGTTTCAAACTCGGTATAGGTTAACCTTTCTGAACTGAACATCAGGCGTATATTAAACATCCATCCAGCACAGGACCAAGATTAAGTTCTGATCGCTCTCTCCATCTCACACACACACACACCAAAGCTTGAGCAGCAAACTGGGTATGGATAACTCAGAGCCACTGACCCCTGAGGCAGCCAACCCCCTCTCTCTCTGTGTATGTGTGTGTGTGTGTGTGTGTGTGTGTGTGTGTGTGTGTGTGTGGTGTGTGTGTGTGTGTGTGTGTGTGTGTGTGTGTGTGTGTGTGTGTGTGTGTGTGGCCTTGGTGCTGATTCAACGCACAGGTCAAGCATGAAAGCAGATCCCATGATGGATACACACAAATACAAGGCCGTTGCAATGAATAAAAAGGCAGGGTGACAGCATTTAAAGTAGAGCCCCCAGCAGGGGACAATGGCACTATGCTGGTGAGGATATTACAGAAACATGAGGAATGAGCAACAATGGGAGGAAATGCATAAAACATCATAAAGAAATCCTGACTTCTTCGAGGCAATACACTCAAAAGCAGTAGGATCATTTTTCACGTCATCATGATACAGAGCGTGTAACATTTTTTAAGAATGACGTTGATGTGACAGTATGACCTCGAGGTCACAGTTAAAATGACAATAAATGTGATGATGAAAATGATCCACACACACAACATGCTTACAAGCAGAGCTGGAAGAAGTACTCGGATCTTGTACTTAAGTAGAGTGTAGGAATACTCTGTTACAAGTAAAAGTTGATTATATTTCACATCATTAATCGAAAACTGCAAAGTAACTAAAGGTTTTAAATAAATGTAGTGGAGTAAAAGTACATGATTTACCTTTGAATTGCAGTGGAGTCGAAGTACAAGGTAGCAAAACATTGAAATACTCAAGTACAAGTTATTCAAATGTATACTTAAGTACAGTACTAGAGTAAATGTACTTAGTTACTTTACACCACTGTTAACAAGTCAGCATGGTCCACTACAGGGCCTGCTTGTAATCATACCGTTAGCCCGGGGATAGCTGTGTTCTACGGGGAGCTCTCGGGAGATTTCCACCACTCTCTGTGTGTGTGAGCACGAGCGTGATTTAGACCTGTTGTTACCCGACTCTGTGCGAGTGTCAGAAAGCAGGAATGCTGCCAGCGAAAGGGAAGGGAAGGGTGTGGAGGGGGGGGGGGGAAATAACAGCGCCTGCCAGGAGTCTATGAGTGTGTACGAGCCTCACAATACCACTGACCTCTTTCTGCTGAGAAACAGAAAGTGAGAATGTGTGTGCACTCAACCAATCCAGCAGCTCTCTCTCTGCTCTAGAAGTGTGTGTGTGTGTGTGTGTGTGTGTGTGTGTGTGTTCATTAAGCGTGACACTCGGGCTGGTGCACGTGCCGCAAACAGAAGGAAGCAGCAGCAGCTCACGGGCAGATGCGAGCGTGGTCAGTGGAGCCGCAATCAAAAACAAACAAAAAAAGATAGACGGACAAGGCAGAGGGCCAATCAGAGCAAAGATCCACTTCAACAACAAACACTCTAAAGTGGTGATGAATACCACCTACTTCATACACATTTTTTAAATTACATTCGTTGATTCACATCTCAAATAGATCATTAGGTTTTGTTGCTGAAGATTAAAGTCTCCATAGAAACTAGGGCTGTACCCGAATATCCGAATATTCGTTCGTTGGAGTACTATTCGGGTTTCAATTTCGTTATTTGTTTTTTCTTCAAATTGAATTGATTGACAATCTGCAATATCAACGTAAGAGCTTGTGCCTCTTCGGGGGGGGGGTTACACTAAACCATAAACGTTATCGTTTACTTTCTCCGTCGTTATATGTGTAGATATTACTTTTCTCCGTTAATCTCAGTCACGTTGTTTCCAATGCAACAACAACTTCCTGTCAACTGCGCTAACTCTCCTTCAAAATAAAAGCATGTCCATAAATAGGAAGCCAAGCCAAATTACACTTAAGACATATACAACTGCAACGAAAGTAACACACACAATGCGATATCCTTTTCTTCGATATCCGGAGCCCGAAAAATGGTATTCGGGACAGCCCTAATAGCAACAAATATTGCTTTTTATAAAATGATGGTAATCCTACTACAGGTGGTTTCAATTTAAATCACAAACTACTATTTTAAAGCTACATCTCCCTTGATATTTAACAGAGCATGCAGTTCAGTTGTATCAAAACGTAATACTGTAGGAGACATGGTTGGCAAGTCAGCAGTGCATGTGTGTATTGTATGTTTATTGGCCGTAAAATTATTGTTTTGAGAGACTTTTTCACCACCACTTAGATTTTTCTGTTCTGCATAACAATATCTGCTGCCTTAAAATCTGAAAAACAGTACCTTTCGACTCAGATGTTTAACATATGGATGTAGATTTGTAATGTTTAACCATAGACTATATATATTAAGTGTTAACCAACCCATTAGACAGTAAGATCTTCCATTTGCTTGCATTCTTTTAAGGACTGCAAGGATACTAATATGATCTAAAGAGGATGAATGCTTATCTTCATAATTGCTGGTCCCTATTCCTTGGATACAAAAGCTTGTGCAGAGAGCTATAGCTGGTCCATTATTGTTTAGTGTGTTAGAATCAAAGTTTTCGTTAGAATTGTTTTTGCCGGTCAAAGGTCTTCTTTGCTTTAAAACAAATTCATAACGACTCTATATTAAACAAACTAATTATAGTAGATTAACTACATCATTCAAAAGTGTACAGTAACTTTGGATAATAACACAGGAATAATAAATAATAATAATAATTTTTCCCTCCCTCTATACTGTGGTAGAAACCAACTACAACAAAATGAACATATTTTACCGTGATTTAATTGTAATACACGTTTCAAAATGATGCCGAAGTAACAACATACTGATACCGGTTAGTAAAAACCATGAATTAATGCTTTGACAAGTCTGCAGACAGACGGCAGGCGAAACACCTTTTAAAATGGGTGTTTTCTGAATGGAGATCGAATCAATCAGGCTAAGCCAACGTTGTATCTGCTCTGTCCACACTCACAACAACATGATACAGACACAGATTCAACAGCGACTGTATTCGCCATGTTCCAGAGGTAGATAAACTAGCTAAGTGTGTTAGGTCTAAATTGAAGTGTGTGTTTTGCTCTGTTCACCGGTCCGTCACAGCGGGCGGAGCTGTGATCATGCAGAGCTGCATGTCTCCTTCAGCAGCAGCTGATCTGCTCTCTGATCTCTCTCTCTCTCGCATTCATGTCCATATCGATCAGATCTAGCTGGTTCTAGCTAATGATATGACTGCCTGCGTATCAAAGGACACCTATAAGCGTTGCTTGGCAACGGGGGTGTGGCGGCAAAAGTATAGCGCAGCATTATGCAGCATTAAGCATTTGTTTACATGAGGGCTCAAAATGTCCCCTTCAGGAGGGTAAATCTCTTTCTCCACATTCAATGTCACACATTAGAAAGGAAGTGACTGTGCAAGTAGCGTATTGACTCTTCTTGTCTGTCACATAAGTGGCGCAACTGATGCAAAGGGGAAATTATTTTGACCGGAGAGATTTAGATTTGCCGGTCTTCAGCATATTTTACCGGTCATAGTCCGGTAATTACCGGCTAACGGAAACTCTTTGTTGATGAGTTTTAGGTAGAGGATGTTTCAAAGTGCCCTACAGGCAAACATATTGATCTTGCATCCATGTGACAACAGGAGGTAGCCCAAGGCTCTTGTGTGTATGTGTGTGTGTGTCCCTTGCTCAAGTGTATGATTATGACCTAACTGTTGAAGGGGTGTGTGTGTGTGTGTGTGTGTGTGTGTGTGTGTGTGTGTGTGTGTGTGTGTGTGTGTGTGTGTGTGTGTGTGTGTGTGTGTGTGTGTGTGTGTGTTACCGTAGTGTGTGAGGATGCCCTGGGGGGTGACCACCTGATCGCAGACATGGCAGACAACAAGACAAAAATCCTCCAGAGCTGGAAGCTGGCTGTAGACAAGCATCTCTAAAAAAAAAAAACAGGAAGAGAAGAGAGCACATTTAGAGATAAAGGAAAACAGCATGTTGAATGCAAAACTGTGAGCAAACAGAAAGGTCTGATTGAAGATTTGTTTCAGGCATTGCTGCAACTACTGATTACCTCATTATTGCTAAACTGGCAATTCTCTTTTTTAATTATTGGTTGGTCTAGAAAATGTCAAAAAAAAATAGAAAATGTCCATCCCAGTTTTCTCAAACTCAAAACGTGTAAATGTCTTTTTGTCAGTCTAAAATCTCAAGTTTAATTTTATATAAGAAACATAGGTATACAGGAACTCTCCATAATTAAACAGTATTTTAAGTTTTGCTTAAGTTGCTGATTGGGCTTTTGTCAATCAAGTCATCAATTAGTTGAATAAGCAGCTCCCTTTATACAGTACATTGCACAGTATACTAATGCTCTTGGTTGGCTTCTGACTACATTTTAATTTAGTCTTTAACCATGTAACTTAGGTTAAGAACCTTCTGTGATAAACATTAATTTATCAATACACAGCTTTAGGGAAGAAAAACAAGATTATTTTCATTATCGTTTTGGCAATTATTTTGCTATAAAAAATAAGAAACTTAAGGACATTTGCCTATAATTATTTTAATTGCTTATTTGAGAACATGACCAAAATATATCCAAACGCCAATGATACAAACAAAAAGTATACATGCTGAACACAAACCTAAATTATGCTAAAAGCATCTAAATCTCTGCCAGACTTAGAAACAAGTGATGCTCAAAATGATCAACTAGCTTTGGAGCTTCTTTCCAGATAGAGATGTGTCACAAAATCACATAACAGGGAAAAAGGACATACAATCCTTTGAAATACATGCTAGCATCCTGTGTTCTAGCTAGCATACAGCAACATTGTGTTACAGAAGACAACAAAAATGGACAGAAATATGGAAAATAGCTATAATGTCTTTTGGCTAAGCTTTGAAGACCTAATCTTCCTGAACCCAAACAAGCTCTGCTGACAGAAATCACAGAACTGATTAGCACAGGGCTTAAGCACTCACTGTGGGGAGGCGGTGTGTGTTTAGAAGTGTGTGTGAATGCTCGCAAGGGAACAAATAGAGAATATGTGGCTGCGTGTCGTCATGACCTTGCATGGCTAGCGGGTTTTGTGTCGTTTCGGAAGTCAAAGAGATGATAATGTCTCGTGCCCGTGTGTGTGTGTGTGAACCAGATCTGTGAGGTAACTAACGGTCAGAGCAGATCTACAAATATGTAGACAATGTGAGCTTGTGCACATACTGCAAAAGGTCAGAGTTGGTTTCATTACTCATGCATGAAGTTTTCAAGCACAGAAACACAAACAGTGAGTGTGAAACTAAATACTGAAATGAATGCTGAGTAAAGCGGGGAAATAAAGTGATATTGGCTGCTGAGGAGAGGCTCTCATAAGGACTGCAGTTGGATCTGGAGCAGCTGTACTCAATCAGTCTGCACTAGTTCACCTCGTAATACAGAAAGGGAAAGCATTTCTCTCTCATTTTTCCGACCTATAATTTCCAAGCATAAAGCAGGACTCAAGCCACAATGCAGACTCTCTGAATGTTTGTGTTTGCTGACCAAAATCTGTCTTGGTAGAGTTTGTTTTTGACTTAAAAAAGGGGCCCTTTTTGGTGTTTTCCCTTTCCTGTAGTGCGTTATATAGGTTTTGGTGCATTTAAAGGTCCCATGTCATGGCCATTTCTATTGATCATAATTCCATTGTTGAGGTCTACTAAAATACATTTATCTTGTGCAATTTTCCAAACTCGCATTGGTTTCTCATACATCTCTGTATAGTATGTGAATTCACTCTCTGTCCTAAACGGCTTGTTGGAACTCCTGCCCCCCCTCTCTGTGAGCCCAGTGGCCGTCTGCGAGACAGCGAAACGCAGCGAAACCCAGGCTGCAGTCGAATAGTCCATTTAGCTTAGGAACCTTCCTAACGGAATGAAATGACCCGGAAGTCCCTCAGTGGCAGCCATGATAAGTGCCGTTCGAATTCTCTAGAACAGGGGTGGGGAACCTCCGGCCCCCGGGCCGTATACGGCCCGCGAGACAATTTGATACGGCCCTCGAGGTAACACACGCAAAAAAGAAATCTAGACCGCAAAATAATTAAATAAGCGAGTGCCTGTTTTTCCTGGCCAAGGTTAGGGTCCTTGAACACAACACGAGCCTACCATGTCATCACGTGGTATATGTCTCGTCTGACAGGGGTGCAGGTCTGACGGAGAGCACCAGAACGCCGCTCCTGGGCGGGACCTCACACATGCAGTACCCATAAGGAGCCGTACACATGCCGCAGTTTTTGCGTGGCTGTGTCTTTAGTTGTAAGGCCAGTGGCGATCTGTTCATCTGTCATACTGATCATACAGTCAAACTTTGTTGTTATTAGCATCTGGTTAGCTAGCTATGCTAACGAATATAAGAAGCTTTTTCTACAACCAGTGAGGTAAAGGCACATCTTTATATGATCATTATAAAAAAACAAGAGAATAGAGTAAACAGGTATAAAATACTATATGACAGTAAAAAAAAAGTTGTTCTTAATAAACAAGAATACAGTTTGAAAGGGGAGTGATTTGTAAAATATCCAGAAAGAAAAAGAAATCTGCTTACATTTGTTTCATATGGGTGTTGAGAGATGTATCCATAGATCTCTTAATGTTGCTCTCAAAGTGCACCAGATTGATGCTTTCAACTTCAACATAACATTTAAAAAAAAAAAAAAACTTAAATCAAGTCCACATGGATAGGAAACTAAACACATTGGCACACATCTTGTGTCCATATCTTTCTGTTTTGGTGGTCATGCCACAACCGTGCACGTGTATACGCGAGTCATGGTAAGATATCTGGATTAAGAGGTTGCTTTTTCTTTGCACAGCATGAAAGAAAGGCCAAATGAATGGGCTGTGATTTTAGTATTTTTAAGCAGAGGTCAACCATTTATACGGCCCTCGGAGGATGTTGAAAAAATGTAAATGGCCCTTGAGAGGAAAAAGGTTCCCCACCCCTGCTCTAGATGAAAGGAAAGGAGGTTTCAAACTTCCTTTATAACCTCCTTTAGCTTAGGAACCACTGGACCTCCCTAACCGAAAGGAGAAAATGCTGCCCCACAATGCATTGCAGCCGCAGCATTTGCCGTCACACAACAGTCGGCCGTTCACGGAAACAAACGATTATGACGGAGAAATTATATCATGAAAGTTACGGTGCTTAAGCTTTTTAAAACGTATGTGGTAAGTTGCCAAAGTGCTTTGTTTTGAACGTTCATCAGTATTATAATCAAAAAGAGAAATATGAACGTTAGTTTTGACTGAAATGATCAAATAAAGTCAACATTTCACTGAGCTGTGTGGGGTTTGTTCAACTTTTAAAAGATGTTTGAATGGTGATATACACAGTGATAGATGTTAAGGACTAACGTTTATAATAAATACATTTGTATTTATTTTAATATCTTTTCATCAATCATACGTATTGGGATCATTTGTATTAAAGTGGACCGGAGGGAGAGGGTGACGAGCATAAGTTTCACTTTCATTTTTTATTTCAATTCCAACGTTGGTCATGAAGAATATGTTTCTCTGTTGTTCATAAAGCATAAAGCAACAGCATCAGAGCACGGTGCAGAGTCTCTAGATGAGTCCCTCCTTCTTATTGAACATCCATGTTGTAGTCCGCTGTATAGAAAACTGTAGTTTCCATGGTTACCCCACAGCAGCAGACGCACAAAATGAAGTCCGCTGGCGCATCATAAACACGTCGGAGAGTGAAAGTGCATTCGGATTCTCTAAAGTACCGCAGTCTCTTCTCCTAAGTCCTTTTGAATTCTCCTATCCACTATCCCTTAACCCTGTGACGTTTCACTCAGAGGTCAAGGGATAGGAGATAGGGTTACAACTTAGGAGCTGATTTTTAAACTATCCGACCGCAACCCCAGCCCGAAAAACACACACACACCCGCAGCCTGGCTGGGAGTTTGTGTGTGTGCTCAGGCTGTGTTCCGCTGTGTCTCGCCGACCCCACACCAGTGAGCCAGCTCACAGTGTCCCGCTCCTCGCAGCAGCGAGCCTCGCAACGTCCCGCCGAGTGTGTGTGTGTGTGTGAGGAAGTCCGCGGATTGGTTCAAACGTAACGGCTCCGCGGACGTAACCGCTCCGCGGACGTAACCGCTCCGCAGATTGGTCCAAATCCGAAATACGTCACCATACCCAAGAAGTAAACAATGGAAAAAGAGAAATCTCCAACGAGGCGTTCTGGGGCAGCATAGACAGGTCTTTTCTGTGTTAGAGTTTTACTCGCTACAAGGTGTACTTTGAGGGTTTGTGACTCTGCAGACCGTTTACATGCAGAAAAAGCTACATAACACACAAGGGGACGGGTGATAACCGGAAAAGCATGACATGGAACCTTTAATTGGTGTGCAAAGCCGAAAATCCCAAAGTTCTCTCCAGTATCAGGTCTAAAACCACCAGACTCAGGGACAGGTTCATCCCACAGGCCATAAGACAGTTAAACACCTGCACTTAACGTACATACAATTCATCTGGTTGCAACTTACAAATTATTTATCTAATATATCATATTCCAATTACTTGTATATAGACTCTCCTTGCACTATTTCTATTATTACATTACATTGCATTTAGCTGACGCTTTTATCAAAAGCGACTTACAATAAGTACATTCGACCAGGAAGACACAACCTTGAAGAAAACAGAATCATATAAGTACATCAGGTTTCATAGAGCCACACATTTCAAGTGCTACTCAACTGGCTTTAGGTAAGCCAGTCCTTTATTAGTATATAAGTGCTTTGTTAATAATTCTATCGCTCGAAGTGGAGTCGAAAGAGATGAGTTTACAGTCTGCGCCGGAAGATGGGCAAGCTATCAGCTGTCCTGATGTCAATGGGGAGCTCATTCCACCATCTTGGAGCCAGGATAGCAAACCCACGTGTTTTTGCT